TGACTTGTTTTTTGTAAAAAGGAAGCTTTGCATAAAGATTTGGTAAAAAAAAATTGCCTGAATAGTGTGAAGTGAGTGGTTTTAAAGGCCCGAAAAGGCTGGTTTTTGGAGATTTAAGAACCGTTGGCTTTTAACAGTGTGGGGGCAGGGTGAGGCTCCCAGTTGGCCCCCAAAGGCGGTAAAAAATATTGCATAAATTTCCCAAAGAGTACATAAACAGTGAAGGATAAAACCCTGAAAAAAGGTTAAATTGGACGAAACGGCCCTTTTTGGGGAAGAAATGCAAAGGGACCTTCATTCACAAGAGGAAAAGGCAAATCCCCAGGAAAAATTTTAAAAAGCAGGTGGCAATTTTCTGCCTAATGCTAGTGGGGATTTAAAAAGTGAAGCCATTACAAAGTGTACCATTCTGAAAATCCCAGTGTGTTCAGGAAAAACAATGCTATGAAGAGTAATTGTGTGTGTTTTGGAAATCTAATAGAAAGGGACATGGGTCACGAGGGAAATTTTGTCGAGTGGTTAAATTGAAGTGTTTGGCCCTAGTGTGAAGGAGTATCTCCTGGAAAAGAAATTGGATCTCAAGTGCGTGCTAGTAATGGACAATGCACCTGTCATCCTCCAAACTTGGATGACCTAATTTTCGAGGAGTTTGGGTTCATCAAGTAAAGTTTTTGCCCCCGAATACCATTTCCTCCCTCCAACCCTGGACCAGCAGGTTATTGCAAACTTTAAAAAACTCTCCCAAAAAAGCAAGGGTTTCACAGGTGCTTGACTGGGGACCACAGACACTCACTTGACCCTAAGGGAATTTTGGAGAGAACACTTCAGCATCCTCCACTGCAAAACCCCTTATAGGTATGGCTTGGGAGGGAGGGGACTACCAGGACTTTGAACTCTGCCTGGAGAAAATTGTGGCAGATTGTGTTGACAAGAGGGATTTTGAAGGATTTGGGACTGACCCTAATGAGCCTATGTTGTTGTAAATCAATTGTGGGCACTGGGGAGTTCCATGGGTTGGATGTGAGTTTGGAGGATGTGGAAGAAATTTGGGGGAAGACCCCAATGAAGAGCTCACCACTGAGGAGCTGCAAGAGCTTCGCAGGAAGAGCACACATCGCAGCTCAGATTTGCTGCAGAGGAGGAGGGAAAAGAGATGGAAGAAGGTGCCCTTTTTCAGAAATTAAAGGATTTTTACTTTTGTGGGGTAAGATGGAAAGCTTTATGGAGAAACATCACCCCAAAAAGGTTGTTGCAAGCCAGGTTTTGGGAACATGTTTCAGTGGACAAAGTCTTGGGCCATTTTAGGGGAAGTGTTAAAGAGACGCCAGAAACAGAGCTCTCTCCACAGCTATTTTTTGGGACAGGACTCCCGTGACTCTCAAGGTGGTCTAGTGGCATTAAGAAACAGAGAAGAGAAGAACCCCAGAAAAGCAAATGGTACCTGAGGTGTTGATGGAAGGGGATTCCCCTTCCAAAACTATAAACAATCCACTCTCTCTCCCCCTCCCGTCTCCCATACATAAGAAGAATCTCCAATAAAGGTAAGTGTTATGCTGTTAATGTTTCATTCATCATTTCCCATTGTATTGTTTATGTACTACATGTATATTTCATGTTAAAATTTTGTTTGTTTTAATACTTCTGGGTGTCAGG